GAGAGGGGACTGGCGAGGGGAGGGAGGAGAGAGGCCTCCAACTCCCAATACCTCAGGTGGCGATGGCCGCCGGTACACTCAGTCGCCGCTGCTGCTGCTCGCTCGCTGCTGCTGCGCTGCTGCTCCTCGCTGCTCCTGCGCTAAACTTAGCGCCGGCGCTGTATCGCGCTGTACCATACCGTACCGGTAGAATGCCGGTAGGTCGATAGCCTCACTGAGGCTGGACCGGTACTTTTGTACCGGTGGGCAGAGGTCGGCCTCTATGCTGCGAGGCCTGACCGTGCCCTGAACCGTCCAGATGGACGGTTCAGCCCCAACCGGTGGGCGGCAGCCTCAAGAGCGCCGCCAGGCCCAAACGGTAATATCGTTTGGGCCGGCCCGTCGGGTCTGGTCCAAGGTAAGGCCTTTACGGCCTGTAGTACCCCCCAAGGTCGGGCCTTTGGCCCTACTGTGTCCCTCTACCCTACGTCGGGTCCGGTAGGACCCGTGTGGCGTCGAAGATGTAACAGCCAGCCTGAAAGGCGGCTTCCCTGCTGCCCGGCTAGACGGATCACCTAGTCAGGGTCCAAGGCAGCCTCAGCAACCAGGTTCAACTGGGCCTTTTCACCCCCAGTAGGCAGCCTGGTGGTCCTGGGGGATGTTGATGCTCATCATCAACACGGACTGATGAAGATGATGAAGATGATGAAGATGATGAAGATGATGAAGATGATGAAGATGATGAAGATGATGAAGATGATGAAGATGATGACGATGATGAAGATGATGACGATGATGAAGATGATGACGATGATGACGATGATCATGGATGATGATGATGATGATGACGATGATGGTAATTCTTTCAGCGCACGGTCCCGCCCGAGTTGTGGTGCAATAATGAAGGCGATGATGGCGATGACATTGATGATTCCTCCATTGCCCGCCGATCCTGCCCCAACCCCCACTCCGGACTTCCCCAACCAAATATTGCTAACCACATTATAAAAAAAAAACAAAAAAAAAGGGACCGGATTCCGGCAGAATTTGGTGGGTGCAGAGATACCCCATCATCTTTAAAACATAGTAAAAAAAAAAGGTGGGATGTGTCATATGCCCCGTGATACATGCCCAGTTGGGCAATGTATATGGAGCTAAGGATCCACAAAGTGATGAAAAGGACTAGGATGGACAATGCAATGTCAGACAAGCATCAAAAAGCAATGTACATCCAGATACATACAAAAATAGCACAATGTAGCGCAGTGGAAGACTCAAAGATATGTCCTGACCGGTCGGATACTGATGTGACAACCCATCATACACCACACATGTGAGAGAGGGAGGAGGGACCACATACACAGAAAAAAGGTCCCTCGTTGCACACGCACATGGGGGATATACCACGGATGAGAGATGGGGGGAGAGGCGAGACGAAGATGGAGGCGAGGGAGAAGACCAAGATTGCGATAGCGAAGTCCAAAAATAGTCCCTTGCCGAATGTCCAATCAATGTCTGCCACAAAAATGTCGGATCCGATCCTGGGCACAATGCCCGATGTAACCTCTGCCTGTAACCTCTCTCTCTCTCGGAAAGAGGAAGAAGAAGAAGAAGAAGAAGAAGAAGAAGAAGAAGAAGAAGAAGAAGAAGAAGAAGAAGCAAGGAGGGAGAAGAGATGGAGGGTGAGACGAAGAGGAAGAAGATGTCGTCCTCCTTGCTGTCTCACCTGCAGGTACCCATGACGCACACTGATGGTCGTCGTCATCGTCGTGTGCAGGTCGCCGCGCGGAGTCCCAGCTGACACCAGGTAAGTCTGCTGCTGCAGGTATGGCCTCCGCCCCTCTGCCCTACCTACACCTCTACTCGCTAACGCAGCGCTGTGGCGCTGCTCCAGCAGCGTATAGCCCAAGAAGTGAGCTACTCGAACTGTGTGTGCCCAGCCGTCGTCGTCTAGTGCTATACACGCCTGGCCTCAAACGGCCCTGCTTCCTGGTGTACCCAGCCCAAGGCAAGGCCTTTGGGGCTGCAAGTCCGAAACGACGTCTGAACAGACTAAAATAGGACAGCGAATAAATAAATAAATAAATAAATAAATGAATGGATGCTGTCTCATATCGATACCTGCGGCCGCCGTGGGCCTCCAGGGCGCGTGTCTGAAGAGCACGCGGGCTGGGGGCCCCTCAACAACCGTCGAGCCCTTGAAATGGGGCCCGTGTGTAGTCGCAGCATGTCACACCCCGGGTACCCTTGGCGCCCGGACCACCATACAACCTGCACAGGTGCCCAGGTGGGCACGCCCGACCAGCTGCCCCTGGTAACCTATATGGTCTTCACTCAAATAGATCGCCCGCTCATTACAGCTGTATCTAGACTGAAAGGTGCCCAGATACAGACTCCATCGCCAGGCATCCTCTTCGGGTGAAGACAGTAGGAGAAAAAAAAGTCGGTCAGCAGTAATCGATCACACTTTACGCCCATCCAGGAATAAAATAATAGGGATGATGGGGTGGGGGAGAAAATAATAGCTTTCTTGCCAGTTTGTCCAAAAAAAAAAGGAAATGAAAGATATCTCCTGTCCTTTCAGAACATCTACTAAAAATTGGAATGATACAGAGAGAAAGACGAATTATTTTGCTATGGCACCTGCCCAGGGATGACTACATGCAAATCAGGAACTCGTCAAAAAAAAAAAAAAAAAAAAAAAAAAAAATCACCTGAGTCATGCTCCATTCTTCATCGGGAACAGTTTCAACCAGCCAAGCCCACATTTCTGCAGGACCTCTCGTCACACAATAATCGAATCCCAATCCCCCTTGATTAGTGGACTCACAAAGGCCTGGATAAGAGGTAACCTGGACAGAAAACGTGCAACAATACATTCCACAATGCCCAGCCCAAGTCAATCAGCAGTGCAGTGCCTCTCTAAGTTCCTTTTCCTATATACCGCTCTCTCGGACGCAGGCTACAAGCCTGAGGGCATACTCACACTATCACTTTTTTTTTCCGACTCGTATCCGGACGTGATTGGAGTCCAATACATCCAGTCCCTCCGTAATTGCTGTCAGGTACATTTAAGAAAGTGTATTTGTGCACTCTTTAAGTCTTTTTACAATTTTTGTATAAATTAATGTGATATTAAATTATTAATGGGATAATAATATCATAATATCATATCATATAATATTCAGAACTTTGCGTTAGTGCCTGCAAGGCGCTGAAGATTTGACGCGTAGTGTGCCTATTGCAGCAACACCTCCTAATTTATTCGGTATACTACGAGGAATTGCATAAATATTAAATAGGTAAAAAAAAAAAAAAAAACTTCTGGCAGTAATAGTCTCTTTCGTTTTGAGCTCAATGATGAATGAGGTGTGCAAATGCGGCAGATTGTGTGGAGATGACGGTCTATTCAGTGCATCGGTTGAGCTCATCTTCGCAAGAAGGAGAAGGGAAAAGGATCATGCATTCACATCTTTTGGGATCGTGAAATGGACACTGTTTGTTACAAGCACCTAGACGTAAACACGGTCAGATACACTCAAGAAAATGCTTATTGTTGTACAGAGGTATGCAAAACGATGAGGATGCGAAAGGAAATGAGAAAGCGATGAGGGATGGATGCTTGCATGTACGGAAATGCACGCACGGAGTGCGCTTGCAACGCTAAGATCTCAGTTTCGAAAAAGTCGTACTTCCAAAATACATTGTTGCTAAGATTCCTAAGAAGTAAATTGTTGTATTCTGAAAAAAAAAAAAAAAAAAAAAAATGTTGTGTTGTGAAAGAAAAAGAAAAAGAAAAATACATACGGTCAGAGAGATTCAATGCATGTCGTATCTCCAAAATACGATTGTTTGCTAAGAAGCAAATCGTCACAAAAAAAAAAAGAACAAGAAAAAGAAAAAAATTCAAAATTCTCGCTTAAACCCAAGGGTAAGCATTCAGAGCATTCAGCAGAGTTGATCACACACGTAAGCATCATGCACGGCATAATACAACGTAGACGAGGGCCGGGTCAGCAACCGGCCGGTTCTGCTTGCCTGGATCTAACCGGGCCGGAAAGAATGAGGCAGCCCAACCGGAATTCCGGTTAGGCCCAAAACAGAGCCAGTAATTTTTTATTTATTTATTATTATTATTTTTTTTTTTTTGACTGTGGGGTTCAACGGCGCTCGTCGAGAGCAGTCAGAATCAGCAATAAAAACTTTGAACCTACAACGTACACAGAATATTTTTTGGTTAATGGCACTTAATGCCCAAAAAGATTGAAAAGAACACTGCCAAGCGCACAAGTAAGCATCATGCACAGCATAATACAACATAGACAGCAAGACAAATCGCTGTGCACGTTTAGTAAACACGAAAGAATCCATCGCCCGTAGCCAGAAAGGCCGTGACAACGCCGTTAACGCACACACCACACCAGAGCCGACAACCCCCACGTCAAACCCCGCAACCCTGCGAACCCACGTCCATCTGCTTCTGACTCCATGCACACGAGGTGCAAAGAGAGTCAACCGACGTTTGTCCGAACGCAAATTTGACACACCAAGTTCACCCCAACCAAGAAAATGAGAATGCAATCGAAATTTTCAAAGCACTTTCCTTTTTCCGTTCCGCTTCTTTAGTGTGCTCCACGGTCACTCACCTCCTCCGCAATTGTTATGGCATTCGGATTGAACTCGTGGATGATATCGTTAGCCAGTATCAAAAGCAGAATTGCGTCTTGATCCACTCTCTCAAAGTATCTGCAGGGTGAATTTCATCATTTCACAACACACACAATGTGCAATTAAATTGGATTAAGGCACCACCTGCCGTGTTAACAGGGCCTCTCGCCTTAACAGGGGCTTTTCACTTCATTTGCGATGGACTTCCGTTTCATTTCCCAAATGTCTCTGTCCGACCGCCCGTCAAGCAGGTTGTATGCAGTCCCACCACCATGCGGTGTGGACTATATATAGCACTCTACAGAGTCCATACTCTGATAAAATTTCATAAAAAAACAAATTACTCATCATCCAGTAAAAATGGGAAGAGAGAGAGAGAGAGAGAGAGAGAGAGAGAGAGAGAGAGAGAGAGAGAGAGAGAGAGAGAGAGAGAGTACGCATAATGAGATAGAGCGAGTAAGAGAGAGAGAGAGAGTCTGGTAAGCAGGTTTACATAATCCTGCTTAGGCTGGTTACATAATACATACATATAGTCCAGAAAGCACACACATAGTCCGGTAAGCAAGCATAGGTAATCCTGATTAG